CTCTTTTGGTAAAGGAAAAATGCAGCTGCACATCGCAAATGAGGTCATCTGTCTGTTCGATGTAGCGCAAGAGAGCAGAGTGCTCACGCCTGCAGAATTCCACCTGAGAAAGTAGCTCAAGTTGAAAGTGCTTGGTTTAGTAGCCATTGAGCGGGCAAGAAGAAGGCAAGCCTCTAGGATTACCTGGCTAAAGGAAGGAGATGCAAACACGAAGTTTTTCCACGCAAGAGTGAGAGCTAGAAGGAGAAAAAACTTCATTCACTCCCTTAGGGAGGATGGCTTGGAGGTCTTTGATCACAACGGGAAGGAGAGGATTATTCACGATCATTTCGTCAGATTTCTAGGCAAGCAGGAGGACAGAAAAGCCACCATAAACTGGGAGCGACTGGCCATCCCCACCATTGATCCGCAAGGATTGGACTCGCCGTTCTCCATGGCCGAGGTCTGGGCAGCCGTCGTCTCCTCCCCAACGGAAAAAGCTCCTGGCCCTGACGGGTTCACCGGACAATTCTTCCGCTCCTGTTGGCACATCATTCAGGATGATATCATGGCGGTGTTTAACAAGTTCCACCAGGTGGCTGGGCAAAACTTCCAAGAGGTCAACACGGCCCTGATTACGCTGCTGCCAAAGAAAGATGGAGCTTCAGAGGTCAACCATTTTCGGCCAATCAGCTTGATCCACTCAGTGGCCAAACTTATCTCCAAAGTGCTCTCTGCAAGGCTGGCACGGGTCCTAGATACGATCATCTCGCCGACACAGACTGCTTTTCAGAAAGGCAAATGCATCCACGAGAGCTTTCAGTATGTGCAGAGTTGTGTTTGGATGTTGCATAGGACGAAGAAAAAGGCCCTTTTCTTCAAACTGGACATAGCAAGGGCTTTTGATTCGGTGTCATGGGAGTACTTGCTCGAGCTCAAGCAAAAAATGGGTTTCCCTCCAAGATGGAGAAAATGGATTGCGCTGCTACTCTCCTCTGCCACATCCTCCTGCTTGCTCAACGGAACACAGGGCCAATCTATTTCCCATGGCTGTGGCTTTAGGTAGGGCGATCCTCTATCCCCGCTGCTTTTCATCCTGGCGATCGACCCCCTCCACCACCTCCTTCAAGCGGCTGCAGAGGAAGAGATGATCGCTCGGCTGCCAGGCCGGGGCATCAGCATGCGAGTTAGCTTATACGCTGACGACGTCGTCATTTTCGCCAACCCGGTTAAGGAGGAGGTAGATGCCCTGCTGCACTTGCTCGGCAGATTCAGGGAAGCAACGGGACTGAGGTTAAACCAGGCGAAATCTGCGGTCATCCCTATCAACTGTGCTGATCTTCAGTTAGATGTGGTTCTGCAAAACTTTGGGGGGCTGCAGTCCGCGTTCCCAAGCACATACCTGGGACTGCCAATCTCCCCAAGGAAACTAAGGCTGGTGCATTTCCAATTTATCATTGACCGGATTCGCTCAAGGTTGGCTGGGTGGAAAGGAAAACTGATGAACATGGCAGGAAGAAGGGTTCTGGTGCGTGCCGTCCTGACGGCGCTGCCGGTGTTTGCAATGACTGTACTCAAAGTGCCGAAGAAGATCCTAAAAGAGGTGGACAAAGAAAGGAGACAGTTTTTATGGGCTCATGACGAGAATGTCACCGGCGCCAAATGCAAGGTGGCCTGGGGAAAAGTCTGTCTTCCGGTGGACAAGGGGGGGGGCTTGGTCTGCTGGATCTTCATCGGTTCAGCACAGCTCTCCGGCTGCGCTGGTTGTGGCTCTCCTGGCAACAGCCACGCCGGCCTTGGATGAACTTCCCGGCCCCATGTGCCAAGGAGGACCTGGAGTTGTTTGCAGCGGCCACCAACGTGCACTTGGGCAACGGAAAAATAGCACCTTTCTGGACTTGCAAATGGATCGGGCCGGTGGCGCTGCAGCACGAGTTCCCTGCTTTGTTTCAGCACTCCAGAAGGAGAAACAGGACGGTTCATGATGCGCTGGCAAATGACACATGGGTGTGTAACCTATGGCATGGCAACACAGCAGAGATTGCCCACCAGTTCTTGCAAATGTGGAGGAAGATTCAGGGCGCAGGCATCCTTCTTTCCTCCGACGAGGACACGATCAGCTGGACGGAAACCACAGGAGGAGGAAATTACTCGGCAAAGGCTGCTTACGATTTACAAATCAGTGACATCCCACCCTCAGGTGAAAAAACCGCGATTTGGAAAAGCCTGGGCGCCTGGTACGGTGAAGATTTTCGCTTGGCTGCTACACCAAGACAAGCTTCGGTGCAACGATCGCCTTCAACGGCGAGGGTGGCCCAATGGGTATTTCTACGCTTGCTGCAACGGAAATTTGGAAAGCTCAATTCACCTTTTTTGGGACTGCCCCTTCTCCCGAACGGTCTGGCAGGCAGCGTCGCGTAGATACGGTTGCGCGGTGCTCAATGAAGCGCGGGAAGAAGGTCACAGCTCTCTCAGGCACTGGGAAAGGCTGACTGCTTCAACACCACAAAGCTGTAGAAAGGGGCTAAGGACAATGCTGCTGCTGATCACGTGGGAGCTTTGGAAAGAGAGGAATGCGTGTGTGTTCAGAAGGAAAACGCCTCAGACGGAGGACGTCCTGCGAGCCATCGACAACACGGTAGAGCTCTGGCGGCTAGCAGGAGCGCGATGCATAGAGGCCCCTTTCGGAGAGGATGTAGTGAGATAAAACACCATGGTCTTGTAGCTGGCCACTCTTGGCCACTCTTAGCTCTCTCATTACCACGATCACTTGATCACCCATGTATTCCCCGCTGCTTTCTTCTAAATCAATGAAGCCGATGACCCCGGATCTTTCAAAAAAAAAAGTATTGCCATCACATAGAAACATGACGCACACATTCAGAAGCGGTGTGCAAGCTGAACCACTCGTTACTGGATACTGGGCGCCAATTCACAAGTCTGAAGTCTGAACACATGAGCCGCCCAGAGAAGCTGAGAAGGCATGCACCACGCATGTATGTATGGTATGGGTATGGGCAAACCGGCAAAGATAAACGGGAATCTGTCTGCCTGTGTGTGCGCGCGCTCAGCTGACGGGTACGTGCGTAGCGTGCACTACGAGCCTCCGAGTGGGCGCACGCCTCCCGCCATATGATCCACACGATGCACGCCATGCCGCGGTCGTCCCCCGGCTGAAACGAAACCTCGGCGTTGCCGGCGTCTTCACATAAAGGGAGAAGAGGCCCGATCCGAGAGAAACGACACCGCACGCCATGTAAACCGATCTTTCAGAGCAAGCAAGGATGCCTCGTTCCTTGGAATAACACACTCGCCCATTCACTACATGGTTTGGAAAGCTTGGGCTCACCCTAAGATCAAATTCTTTGCTTGGCTGGTCTTGTAAGACTGGATTTAGACCGCCGACCGGTTGAAGCGGCGTGGTTGGAAAAATTGTGGACTTTGCCCACTTTGCAAGAGGGAGCAAGAATCAGGCATCCATCTTTTCGTCAAGTGCCGCTTCTCCATTCGGCTCTGGCGATCAGTCATTGACAAGTTTGGTCTTGCGTTGGTGAGATAGAAGAACCGACGTGCGAAATCCAGACAGACGAGCAATGGCCTCCCTCACCATACTCGTCTCTTGGACTCTTTGGAATGAGAGAAACGTCCGGGTGTTTCGCCACAAAAGTGCGCCACCGCCTATTCTTCTTCAAAATATTTTGCTTGAGGCCAACCTATGGGCGTATTGTTGTACGAGAGGTTTATTTATAGGGTCACTTGTAAACTGTCAAACTCTATTCTTTTCTTATTTAATGGATGAGGCAAATCTTTTGCTTCCGTTTCGAAGAAAAAAAATGCCTCATTCCCACTCCGTCTGGGGAAGATCTGCGAGCGCTCACTTCACTGGAGAGGGAGAGGTATGGCACAAAGGGCCGTCACTTCTCCCGGAGCAGGAGTAGGAGTAGGGCGTGGCAAGCAATCCCAGAGTATATGATGTGTCTATGGACGGGGCAAGGAAATATGGCGACTAGGACGTACGGCGTCCAGTCCAATCGCACCACCTGTGTTTCCTTGGCTTTGCGCAAAGAGCTCCACCAGTTTAGGACGAAACGGATGAGCCGCACGCTTGCGCCGTCTATCTCTATGAGGATTGAGGAGCCATCCCATCATGCCCTAGCTTTTGGTTCTACTCCAATACAAACCTCATCTCCCAGTCACGACATGATATGATGGCGCCACCCACAGCCCCGCCCCAACCAATGGTGTTTTACCATCGGCTTTTCGTCCGCAAAAGGCGTGCTATCACTCACATGAACGCAACCACTAAACTCATTCCGCGACGCAAACAAAGTACTAGTAGACACTAGACACTGATCCCATCACCCGGATTCCAATTACTTTAATTTTTACTAAACATTACAGTCAGCTCCATTCCTTTTTCCCTTAAATAAACATTATTACAGGCACTGTCATTGCTTGCTACGGTAGTAATTCAGCTCAGCCGGCGCCACATTCATTTGAAAAGGCTGAAATCTCAAGAGCAGAGCAACCAGCACCAACTTGTTTCAAAATCACCTCAAGTCCCGAACCAGTGAATGTGCCGTAAATGCTGTACACAAGTATATTTATGCACTTTTATTGTACTCATTTCCGAGTCGGGTATATATATATAATATACACAGCGAGAAAGGTTTCAAAACATGACGCGGTAAATCCGAGACGTGCCGCCGCCAAATGAACGCAGGAAGGCGGCGGCAGCTCCAAGAATGAGAGAGAGAGAGAGACCTCTATGTGTGATCTCAGTTATAGTAGAATACAACGTACCATTACAACAACAGAGTGCTATACGAAGCAAGTGTGCTGACCACAGTGATCATACGAGAGCTGCAACCAACACAACACCGTAGAAAGAAACGGCAAGGCGACTATGGAGGGCTGCAAGCAGCCTCTGCGCAAGCGACAGCGGGAAGCAAGCTGTGGAGCTCCCGGTCACGGCGAGTGGCAACACATAGCCAAAGGGAGGAGAGTGCTGTGCAAAGTATCTACGGGCCACGGGCCCTGGTGAAACATAAGCATCCGGACGACTGACCATCTGGTATCATACCGCCGCCTTTGCTTGTGTCGAGGGCCTCCATAAGCTGCACCACCTCATCCATATCCGGGCGTTTGTCAGGGTTTCCGTCCCAGCATTTACGCATAATGTTCGCAAACGCACTTGGACAGCAGCGGGGTATGTCTGGCCGCAAATTCTGTCCACAGACGAGCAGTAGTTATATTTGATGTATGTGCTCTGCGTGGATCATATGATACAATGAAGGAAAATGGCGTGGCAGGAGAGTATCTAGAACACACGACAAACCTGGTGAACAACAGCAGAAGAGACATCGGCAAAACTTAGGTCTGGGTATGGCATGTCACAGCAATAGATTTCCCACAGGCAGATGCCGAAACTGTAAACATCACATTTCCTGTTGTATGGTTTACCATCAAGAACCTGCAAATGCATACAAGGAAGAACATGAAGCTCTATTTTAAGTGAGACACCATTTTCTTAAGGAAGAAACTTAAGAGGGATTAGTCCAATAAATACCTCTGGGGCCATATAACCAAGTGTGCCTGTCGCACCAGTCATATCCTTCGGATTCTGAGCCTCAACACGTGCAACGCCAAAATCAGCAATCTTAAGGTTACGCTGTGTATCAAGCAGCATATTTTCAGTTTTCACGTCGCGATGTACTATCTTTCTAGAGTGTAGATAGCTCAATCTGCAAAGGGAAGGCCAGATTATTACTTTTTCGATTCAGATACTCTAGAAATAATGCATAGCGGTGATTTGGGCTCAAGAGCTTATTACCCCCTGGACAGATCCAATGCAAGCTGAACCACAACTTTGTAGGCGAGCTTCCGCCGTCTGTTCTTTATCAGATACTGCTTCAAAGTGCCTCCAGCGAGATACTCTACCACAACACAACATGCTCTAGCTGGCAAGTTGGCACGCGCACCGTTGTCATTGACTGGTATCTTGAGGTCGGTGGTCCCCATAGACGCACCAATAAACTGCAGAAGGGATTACGGCATGTATTTGAGTAATCAATACTTTTCAAATAGCCCTAGGATAGTGAGCATGATACCAGTTACAAATTTTAATCCTGGACTAGAAGTTAATACTCAATAAGCTATCAGCTTTACTACAAGAGAAAATATCACATATGAAGGACAGGATTGATGGAAGCCAAGTATGATTGGAAATATTCACCCTTGTAACGTTAGGATGGCTGAGCTTATGCCAAACAGCAACCTCCTGCTTAAATGATGTTCGTAAAGCAGTAGTTTCGGCTTCTGTGGCAAAACCATCTTCTCCCCAATCCAACAGCTTCACTGCAAACAATATGATGAAATTAATAGGGTGCTCGTATATTGCGTAACATTGTGAACAAAACAATCCCAAATTCCTAAATGGTGAAGTGACACATTCATCGTAGATTTTGAGTAAAAACTGGATATCTAATGATAGAAAATTATACACGCTGTTTTTGAAAATCAACAATAAGAATAGTTATAATCATGTAAAGTTTAAAAGATGCTACTGCTGGAATATGTGTACTGTAAATACAAGCATGTCAATTTTTATGAAGCTAGTAGAAAGAACAAATGAACAACATACAGGCATGCGTATAACTGAAGTGCTCAATGGAACAAAGTCTTCACTTTCTATTTTATGGAAACCTATAGAACTTAGGAAACTGAAGTGGGTCACAAAAAGATAAGCTTGGAAAGTAAGTCAAAGCAGACGGTACAAAGCAGCACAACTACGCTTCAGATAGCATGACATTTAGTTACAGAGACATATATCCACTATTGAGCAGGCTGCAGAAATGTTTACGAGCATATGCAAAAATTCAACACGGAAGAATTCATGTTCATTTGCAAAGGACTCAAAGGAAATTGGTTGAAGGAAGCATCATAAATTAGTAGAAATTTAAATAAATCAATGTTGATAGTGATAAATTGCTAATTAGCAGGAAATCGATGTAGAGTGACATGTGAAATGAGGACTGCTGCCCAAAGGTGAAAAACCTCAGATGGACTGGCAGAGTAAGTAAATGTCCAGAAATGTAGTCAGGGAAAGGAATAACTTGATGGAGGAAAAAAGATGACACTATCTTGAAATTATTCATGAGCAATAGCATCAATCTGGGCACACAAATATGCACAAGGCCGGAAAGCAGATGAATACATGGTCCAGCCCAAGCAATGTTCAAAATAATGATAAACAGCTAACAGACAGTCACCCAGTTCTTTAGTGAAACGGCCCTTCACGTGTTAAGATTTTTAAAATTTCAGATAAATATGTGTAGATGTGTAGAGTAGCAATATAAGCATGTAATGGTTTAACAGATCTTATCAATACATAGAGTGGATGCGGCAGCAAGGAGATTGTCCGACTACGTTATACTTACTAACTAGGAAGTATATATGTATTTGTCTGAATCCAACTATAAGAGATTCCTTGAAAAGTACAAGTGCAAAGCTTCTTGCATTCACAATAGGTTGGCCATCTAGCAAATTTTGCTCCTACCTTTTACAGTGCCTAGAAGCATAACTCAACTGTTTGCTAGTTATGTGAATATCCGATGTAAGGAAGGTAAAATATCGACATAAGAAATAAAACCTTAAACTACATAATTCAGATGCAGCTTCCTGGGTACAAGAAAAGAACATAAACAGAATCGAAGGTGCACTAAAACACACTAGAAATGAATTTTGATGCGTCTCTGATAAAAACACGCGGGCCAAATTGTTGCGAAAATACTAAGCATTGTGTGAAGCATAAAGAGTTATCATGAAGTTCAAGGATTAATTAACAGGGGGCACACGAATAACTGTCAAACTGCTAGGCATCGCACTTTGCCGAACAAATATGGTTTAAGGCGCCCAGTTGGACACTGGGATGGGTTTAAAAGAGCATGCTACTGGATTAAACACACCTAATCTCAAAACCTGTACCTATTTGAGGTTCTGAAACATTGGGGAAGGAGTGAACACAAATCACACAATCAATAAAAGTCAACATGTATCATTTCTCTAATAGAAGAGATTAGAGTAACTAATTATCCCAAAACCTGCAAACTTGCGCTTGCTTTGTGTGAATAAATACGTGTCATGACTCATGACCTATATACATATGTGTTTTTAACCCCCTATAATATAATCATGTGTGTAATTCGACCAGAAGAATACATAAGAGGGCATAGGAGCATGCATATATAAAGAACAATCAAGCAACATGAGTTCATGTTTTTCAGCCGATTGAGGTAGATACCTGCGACCTGCTGGCCATCATAGGTGCCGCGGTAGACGGTTCCATATGTGCCCTGGGCGATGACGTGCCGGATCTCCAGCTTAGCAAGGTCAATCTCCCAGTCCGCCTTGGGTCCCTGGGACTTGATGTTGGTCTTGCCCCATTTCTTGTTGAGCTGCTGCTCCAGCTGGATGTCGAGGCTGGTGAGGTCGATCTTGTCGGCTCGCACGTAGTCGCTGCTCCCCAGGCTGCCGGTCCTCTTGAATTTCACCTCGGGCATATCACCGGCGCTGGACGCCATCTTTGCAGGCAGCCAAAAATAGAAATCTTGATTCTTGAGGAACTGCGCCGCAAGCCCAACAACCAGAATTCCTTATCGGAGGCGCGGAATCGGCGCGTGGCAACTGGCAAAGTATATCGGGGAGCAGCAGAGGTGAGCCAAGAACCGCCTCCTTGGCAGCAAGGCGGAGCAGGAGAGGGGGCAGATCTCGCGAGCGGTGGGAAGGAAGCAAAGGGGCGGGGGCGGGAGAAGAGGTGCTCACCGCGGCGGGGCTGTGACGAAAGCCGAAAGGCTGGGACGGACGGAACTCGCTGGAAAAAGGCCGGCCGCAAAGTTTGACCGAGGCGGAGGAAGCCCGGCGGAAATATGGCGGAGGCGGGAGAGCAGAGACCGTATCGAATCCGGTCAAAGAATTCCCCAAGAACGCAGGGACAAAGGGCGGCTCAGCCAACTGACCAGCTAACAAGGAAGGAAGGCTGCGGAATCGCGGGCGCGGGATTTGGACGGAGGCGAGCGGGGGAGCTTGGTGGGGGGCGAGGCGGCGGAGGCGGCGAGGAGATGAGGACGGGGGCCTCCGGTCGGACCGAGGCGGCGGGGGCGAGGGTGTTGACGAAGGGGGGAGGCGTGGCGACGACGGAGCGGATTTGTTTACTGCGATACTGTGGCCACTGGCCGCTGCTGCTGTGCTGCCTGTGCGTGGGCAGCTCCGCCTGCCTTCTGGCTCGTCGGTTGCGCTGGAGCTTTTGGAAAGTTGGAATATGCTTACTGTGCTGCTGGCTCGCGTGATGTGCAAGTCCGAGACTCCAAGGTACGTAGAATGTTCAAATGCGTCCCGTGCTACATGTCCAAAGTAGAATGTTCGGGGGCCTCTCCGGGCACGTCGCAGGCTCACGGCATGGTGGGTGGTGAGGTTTCAACTTGAAAAGCTGGTAGGGGTACTCTGTTTCTTGGTCAACCGCTCGTTTGTGGCCGTCGGATCGAGATTTTTCTCTCTGGTCGGTTTTGCACACACGCGAATCCTCAGATCTCTGGTGCCCACGGGATTTTTATAAAGAGTCGACAAACTTAGTACTCCCTCCGTCTTAAAATTTTTGTCTTAAATTTGTCTAAATACGGTTGTATCAAGTCGCATTTTAGTATTAGGTACATCCGTATCTAGACAAATCTAAGACAAGAATTTTGGGACGGAGGGAATAATAAATAAACTAACTAGTAAATTTTCACTCCAGACAACTTATCACTTCTTTCAAAATATGAAAACATATACGAAATATGTATATGGCAATCATGTAAACTGCCACACGCATCCAGCGCCGTCAGTTCCCTCACGATCTCCTTTCTTTCCCGCATGATCTTTCGATTTCTTTCCTTTTCCGCATGACTCCCGATCTCCTTCTTTTCCCGCATGTCCTTCCCCACCGACCTCCCCTGACTTCCTTCCTAATTTTCGTAATCGTCAATTATGGCCCCACGCGCCTTCCTGATTTTTGGCAAAAATAATGCTTGGACTAGGATTTGAACTCTGGTTTGCAGGTAATCAACAAAGGGAGCTTACCACCTCACCTATGACACTCATTGTTGAACAAGCGAAGGGAAATATTGTGTTTGCCATGTTTTTGCCTTTAATATGCTAGCATTGAAAAACTTTTTATTTCAAGCATCATGGTAACTTTGATCATTGGGAATAAATTTATTGAACCCGCCCCCCGGTAATTTCTGTAAATAGCACGATAACATTCACGCCATTGACCTGATATTTTAGATACAAACATCGTGGTAACTTTAACCATTGGGGAAGACAAATGTAAAAAGATATCCGATAATTTATGTGTAAATAGATGGTAATATACACAGTGCACATTTGATAACTGAGGTAGAAACACCATGGTAACTTTGACCGTAGAGAATAATTTTTTTTTGAGAACATACTCCGGTATCTTCTGTGTAAATAGCACGGTAGTATACCTCCCTCCCCTGGCATTTTTATGTGTATATAGCATGAAAACATATGCACTGCGATAACTAAACACCATGATAAGTTTTTGACCCGTGGGGGCGGGGGGATTTGTTGCTGAAACATACCCCCTGATAAATTTTGTGTAAATAGCATGATATTTTAAGCACTACGGGCTTGATAGGTTACCTAGAATCACCATGATAACTTTTTGTTCTGGGATAAAGTTGTTCAAAACATCCTCAATAATTTTTGTGTAAATAACATGATTATATAAGCACCGCATAACCGATAACTTGCAATATAAACATGATGGTAACTTTTTTACCAAAGGAAAATAAGTTGTTAAAAACATACACTCACCTCGCGTGTGGGCCTCTTGGATGAACACAACACATGGCGTGCCACGGGAAAGTCACATAATGTTATGAGGGACACACGTGCTATAGGCGTGATAAGTTACGCAAAAATATCATGGCAATTTTTGACCTATGAAAAAAGCTACCGAAACACACCCAGGTTTTTAGGTGCAAGTATCATGATAATATACGAAACACACCAAAAATATCATGGTAACTCATGTACAATCCCCCATGATAACTTTGATCAGGGGAGGTTGATGTACATATACCCTGATAACTTATGTGCAAGTACCACTGTATTTTACACATCGAAGACCTTATAACTTGTGTACAAAACACAGTGTTAACTTTGAAGGGGTGTAGTTGTTGAAGCATAGTACCTTGTACGTTCTATGTAAATAGCATGGTAAGTTATGCAACACAGGCCTGATAACTTGCATACGAATACCATGGTAACTTTGTCCCGAGGAGAAATCATGTGATAGACGTGAAGAAGTGGCAGTTTTCTCGGGGGTGGGCGCCCGAGATGTGCAGGAGAAGCAGGTTTCTCGGGCAAGCCTGCGGGGTCATTTGGAAGAAGGCGAGGTCAAAGGACGAGGGATCGTGTGGTACTTTAAAATGAAAGAAGTAAAGGTGTGGCAGTTTTGCTTATATGGCACACGTGTGCCAAATATCACAGTCCAAACATATAATGTCAATTATTTTGAAATGTAGGAGTGCCTTTAGAGCATCTGCCGACTCTCAAACCGCCCGCCTCCGCCCCGACGGCGGAAGCCATTCAACGCGGGGTTGTGTCGGTCCGCGTCGCGGTCCGGACATACTCCCTCCGTTCCAAATTACTCATGCAGAAATGGATGTATCTAGAATTAAAATACATTTAGATATATTCATACCTGCGACAAGTAATTCGGAACGTAGGGAGTACTTTCTATCGCAAAACCGGAGACAAAACAGGGGCTTTGCGGGCATCCGAACACCACCAATGCCCCGCTTCTGACCACACTGACCCCCCAAAGCCCTTCCTCCCTCGTCGGCGCGTGTTCCCGTCCGGCGCCAGCTATCCACATTCATGTCGATGCACGTTGAAGACGGGTTCAGGGCGGACGCGACCTCTTACTTCCTCTGCCCATTGCACGTCCGGCTGAGCACACTTCCTCGCCGCACTCAAGCGCCTCCATTAAACCCGCGTGGAAGTCAAGAAATCTACTCCAGCCACACATCTGTTCACGAGCGGGCCGGTGGGGAGCATTAAACACAACGTCGGGCAAGCTCATCATGTCCATCCTCTATTTAAAGGACGCCAGACGTTGGGTAAGAATCACACCACTAAGTCCGCCGCTCCCCATCTCCTCTTTGCATCATTTTATTCACCATAGCCGTTCAGAAACACAAACAATAGCAACCTACTATTGATAAAAATAAAGTACCCCTATTTCTTTCAATGGATTTAGGACGATGAATATCCATCGAGAAAAATCAGATTTTTAGGCATAGCAAATCAAATGTTTTTTATGATAAATTATGTTTGTCGAGGTGACAAGTTTAGTTAGTGAGCATGACAAATCCTTTACGGTTTATTTTTTTGCTAGAAAACTGTCCTGGTCGCCGGCTAATTTTGTCATCCACGCGCCAATATAAATTGTTATAAAAAAACGTTGAATTTGCCATGGCTAAAAAATCTGAAGTCACGTACTCGGATTTATAAAACACGCAGCGGTGGCGACTGGAAATGTGATAGGCTATCATCAGAGCGCTGTAAGAGCAACAAGAAATGCACCCGTCATTATTTACAAGTGCGCGGGGGCACCGAGCAGGACCACGCAGCACTGTACGTACGGCCGTGTGTCGTGGTACGGCAAGATGGGCCGTCTGGACAGCGACCTATCTGGTCCTGGTGCTCCCTCCCACCACTAGCGAAGCCTGCCAGCCAGCCTATCACATTTCATAGGGTGTGTAGCGTACTGTGCAGGTTCAGTGCAGTGCGGAATCACCAAACTTGGGGTAGAAAAGATGAGCATGGGTGGGGTGGATGCTTTGTGATTTGAGAATGCCACGTGTCATTCATCAAGATGGGTCTCACCTGCTAATCCGTGAGACCTGGTCTCATAGAATTTTTTTTCATGGTCCATGGTCCATCGTCGTTGAACGCGCCTACGGCTGCGGCAGCTGCGAGGAACATGCACGAGAGCACGGCCTACCCCGTAGCCCTACCACTAGGGTTAAATAAAGAAAAATGTAAGGGTGCAACATTCAAAAAGAAAGCGCCAAAATACTTTTACGAATGCCGAAAGAATTTTAAAAAATTGGATTTACTATTTCATTTTTGAAGAAGGATTTGCTATTTCTCAGATGCCGGAAATTCCTTCTCGCGCCAATCACTTTTTTCCTTCTTCTTTCCTTCTTATTCCTTCCCTCTTGGTCAGACCTCGCCAGAGAAGAACCAGCGCCACCATCTATCTTAAGGTGAAGTAACGACCTCATTATCTATCTTATGGGTGGTGCAGGTGATCGCCCGAGTTCTCCATTGGTGCGGTGGGGCTTATAGCTAGGGATGGCCCGGACGGCTGTCAACAACGATGGTGGGGGAAGATCGAGGAGAGGGCGGGGCGCACGGTAGCGCCCGCCGACCGTTGGGGCGGGTTAGGCCGGGGGATCGGGACGAGGAAGAAGGCAAGGCAAACGATGAACAGTGCCATGATCTATTT